ACCTAAGCTGGCATGAGGACTGGACAACCTGGACTGGAGAGTCATCCGAAGCATGCTTGAGGTAGTCTTCCGGTATACAGGCATTCGATTTTTGGTATATTATCACAGTCCTAGACGGTTACCTCCTGCAGGAGTGTGGATTGTTACTTCTTCAAGAACTCCTACTGCAAGAGAGGGCCGTCGTGCCGACATCGACATCCACCGGCAGTAAGATCATTCCGGCACGGAATGACTTTAGGGAGGGGGCAGTGTGACGAATCATACTGTCGGCGCTATCTGTTGGGCGAGTCTCCTACTCGCTAGAGCTTCATGGCCGATCTCTGCTTTTACGTGAATCACGACCGCACCAGCCACCTGGCGGCGGATCGCCATCTATATCGACGCGAAGCAAGCTCGACTATTCGGGACGGCCGCTATGTGGCTCCCGATTCTTCTAGACTCAACGATGCGGACTATATAACTCGGAGGCCGGAAGATGGAAGAGAGTACGGAATACGATAGAGTAGAGCAGAGTGAAGTGTCCTGTCAGTAGCGCGACATAAGAATTAGTTAGACATAAATAGTGGTGTATATAAGTGTTTTATCCAGTTAAATAAATTACTGCATTTCTTTTTGTGAAATCAAGTGTTTTAATCCACACCCAAAAGAACCCAGAAATACGCTACAGTTGAATGCCTATACTTACATAAATAAAAAATTGATGATTAAGCTCCTTTAGTCCAAAGCAGGTTATCGTCAGTCTTTTTGTACTGGTTAGAATAATGAGCAACGTTCTTCTATTGGTAGTATTCCAGCTATGCCAAGGTAGTTCGCATAGTTTATAGTATAACTCCATTGACTAAAATAAAGTACATACATGTCAACAAACCAATCTTGCATATCTATGACCTACAGTTAATGTTTTGACAAATTTTTGTGTAAACAATCATCTCGGGTAATGATCTGAGTAAATTCAAACTGTAATGTACGGTACTTTTAAAAAACCCCACCGCCCCTCACTTATTAAACGGGTCAAGTTAGCAAGTTGAAATTCGCAGTAATGAAATTTTTGCATGAAAAAATTCAAGGTACCACATTTTGAAGGTCCTTATAACCGAAGAGTATAACTTTTGATTGATATATTGGTGCACAAATTCTTGCAGAAAAATTAGAGAAGCATAACATAAATATATAAATGAAGGGCTATTTGGGTAGGGCTCTTGAAGTTAGCGTTTTTATAAGTGTTTGTTAGTCTTGAACTACTTTACGTCATTGATTTTTGAAAGTGTCGTTTCCTCAATATATGTATATTTCGAGAAGTGTATATTGGATTTTTCATTAAGCTCGTTGAAAAAAGCGCCAGGAGGTAATTTTTAAGTATAATCAATCCAATCTTAAGATACTTATGCTAATATTTCACATAACTACTGGCGTGCTGTTCTTATTTTATTAAAAATAGAAAATTACAGACCCACAGTTTGTGAAAGCGAATCATTTCGTCCTGAAATATTTTGCAATCCCCAATAGAATAATTCCTGCTTGGGTGCCACGCCTCATGGGAATAGCTAGTGATGAAGGAGCTGATGAACCTTCCGGGTAAGCTTCTGATGCTCGTTCACACCACTACCTCCCAATCAGAGGAGTATCAAAGGAGCGCCGAATGAGGGTCGTAGAACACAACATTTTGAGGAAATCTTTAACTTCCAAATAGCAGATAAAAACTGATAAAGGTTGGATTTTGGCTAGCCTCTAGTTATTCAAAACACATTTAACAAAAAGTAGGAATAAATGTATCAAGCTTATTTGCAGAACGTCTGAAGAGAGGGAGGCAGAGAGAGAGAGAGAGAAAAGAGTGTAAAGCATTCGAGTAATTATATTGAGTGTATGAAAGGTCAGCTTCTTAAAAAGTCAAGATGAAAGGTAGTGGTGCTTAATACAAAGCTGTTCCACGTTTATTGATAATAATAATGCCTTTACTGGGGCGAAGTCTATCCAGACGGCTACTCTTCCACTAAATCCTAAACGAGAAAACCACTCATATGAACACAAAAGAGGAACCTAAACTGATTGGACTTCAGCAGCTGACTTTACATTAATTTCTTGAAAGAAAAAACTTGATTTCATGCTCCGCTTAATACCTATAACTGGGATGCACAACAGCAGTCGTCAACCTATCAGTGACTGTGTCCAAGATCCCGCCACACAAATTCCGTCCACTCTTGTACGCAATATAGGCGGAATTCACACAGCTGCATCCCAGACACAGTCACTGTCAAGTCACCCTTAATAAAAATATGATGAGAGATGAAGCTATGAAGCTAATGTATATTTCAAATCACTTACTGCATCACTGTATTGTTGACCAATTTGACAGAATGTGAGTACAACGTACTCCGAAATAAGAAGAGCTGATATCATTTTTATATCGCTTTGTGGGCAATCTTTCTGTAAATCAAGTAGGTAACAGTTAATATCATAGTATAGTTCTTTTTACGGTTTGTGACTATGTCACACGAAATAAGTAAGCTGTACCATGTGCGGTCCTCAACTTCCCTAAGGGAAACCTCACACTGCGCAAGCTGATCCTTAACGCTGCTCTCGCTTTTGCACGCACACATGAATTGTTTGACAGAATTTCTATGTCTTCATTCATTGTCTCAAAATACTCCAATAAATTCACAGAAATCATTTTTCGAGTTAGAACCGTTTTGTAATGTTATTAGAGAATCTTTTGCAAACTAAAATATGAACATTTTCATTTTGCATCATAGATACCATAAGCAGTTAAACATTTGTCAAATCGTGGCATCAGCTTTCGGATCCCAAAGATCGCTGCCGCCTGACCTATAAACCAGTTAGTAACAGTTCCTTTTAAGATGTAATCACTTTTCCAAGAGCTTTCCGCCAATAAATTCCTGAAGTTTTGTAGGAAAATGAAAGTCTGACGCTGCTAGTGATAGTAGTAGTAGTAGTAGTGGGGAGCCGAAACCTGGCAGCTAGACGATCTTTAGCCCTTTTTGCCGACCCGGTAGCACTACACTGTACAGGCCATCTACTGGTAACTGATTATTGAGCAAACTAGCTGCATCGATGAGATGTACCTTTTGTCAATATTGCACCCACGTGCCTGATATAAACAACACCCAACGCAACATCCACGATGCGAGTGCCGGGTTGCTAGTTCGACGCGCTAACCACCGACATACCGCGGTTCCCCTGAACAAGCTGCTGGTGAGTTTCCGCAGGAGGGACTTTTCATGCATTTTATAACCGAATTGCGGAGAACCCTTCACAATTGGCGGGTTTACTGATCGACATTGCGACAAATAAAGTAGTATAACTATACCGACAGAGACTTGAAATGTAATGGCAGCTTAATAAGCGACTCGCCAAAACTGCCTGAGGTTGAACATGCTGGGATGCGCAGGCACGATGCGCAATCGGTTGTTACTCTAAAAATTACCCTCGTAGCACAGATTGACAAAAATATAATTGTATCTTCAGGCATTGCTAGGTTTAATATCGTAGATCAACAAAAGCTAAACTCAGACTCTCATGTCAAAATGAAAATGACAAGCGTAAATATCGGAAAGTCATACGTTGACGTGAAGGCGGGGAATAAAACCAAAAACCGTAGGTCTGTGAGCTTACACAAATAAACAACAACGCATATAGACCGACTGCACGTACGTGTTAGGGACATGCATGTATGTAATTCTTGTAGGTTTTCTTTAACAACTCTAACAAGTACAAACACTACACAATTTTCATCATTCACCAAACCGACACTTTGGGTGTTAAATACTCCGCATGACTAGGGCGGGCACAAACGCTGTGGTTTCCTAATTAGATTTCCGAATTTGGAATCCGCATTCGGAATTTCATGAGCGCGCGTGAGGAAAATAGGCCAAATGTCAAAAATGTCAAATGGAAAAAATGTCAAACGCAAAAATACCAAGTACTTTTGCTTGTTTTTATTGAGTGACACATGTGACTGTGTATCTTTAGTACTTTCACTGTGAAACATAGTAAGCGCATCTACGATCGTCAGCTTGGCAATCACTGAGTTGATTCTATAGATGCCTAATTAGCATAATCACAGACACTGAGAAACATGTAATGATACATCAACGGAATCCAGCCACGTTCGTACGAGATATACTGTGTACTTTATGGTTCAAGAAAGGAGTTATTTGAAAAGAGAGCTTTCTATTTAATTTAAATATTCCGCAAATTTTTCGACACGCTTCAGTCTAGTTCCAGAGTTTGCAATGTATTTTGAAGGCCAAAGCAAATGCAGGACTGTTGGCTTAGAGATCCTAGTGACTATGTGCATCTTATGTATCAAAATTAGTACCTACCACGATGATGAGCAGGTACAAAAGTACCAAAAGAAGAATCCCTCCACTTGCCCCTAGTATAATCATAATCGGAGCTTGAACAACTAAGTATTGGTCGGCCATTCTGAGAAAATAAGGTATCATTACAAAGGAGTCTATTCAATTTGTGACTTTTTATGGACCATGTAAAATAAGTGTAACACATAGATTGAAGAGCTTTGATATCATTGGGGTATTCATCAGTTAGAGAAAATTGCGCCTAGTAGTTTTAGTAGCTTGAATTGACTGTTTATTCTCGCCTTTTCAGATCTGAATCGAAAAAAGAAAACATATCTTAAGTTTCTCAAACAATGTATGATTTTTCCACTACTACCACAATACAGAGTTTTTAACTTCAAATGCCCAATTTTGGATGATTGTTGAAAAATCACAAAAATTGAAATATTTCGTAAGCCACTGATTTTCAACAATACACGTATAATGGCGAAATTCCTTGAATTTTAGGTATCCTATTACACCCTTGAAGGAATACGGGGATAGCAAGCCGGTTTCAACTTGTCCATCTTAAAGCCCGATTTATAGATTTGCCGTTGGTCGTTGTAGTTCAGTAGCAATTTATAGATTCTCAACTGCAACTGTCAGTTATCAAGAACTTAGGACATACATAAACTCAATCTCAAAATGAAAATTGTTTATTGCGGTTTTCACAACCAGCATTTGTTTGAAAAAGTTGGTAAAAGTGTAACTCTCAGAGTTTGTGTTTACTGCAACTGCCAAAGTTATAACTTGGGCAAGTCGAACCTCAACTGGCACGCGAACGACCAACGATGAATGTCTAGTTTATAGATCGCCCTTAAAGATGAATGTTGATCTTATAAATCGGCCTTAAAGAAGAATAAGGAGCAAATGTTGGTTGTCTGTGTTTCTCTTCTTGAAATCTGTTTTCCAATATTATACCTTTTAATGTTGTCTTCAAAAATTCGTATACTCAACGTTCCTCAATTCCTAATTGCTTTCAAATATTTCATTATTAACCTAGGTGCTCTTTTATTATTATTTACTTAAAGAAAAAGTTACATTTTATTGAATGTATAATGAGGTTTTGTCGTGTTGGTAATAGTCTAATCATATTAGGCGGAAATATCCCTGGCTCGCGAAATGATTGTAAAGTTTGGTTTAATTGATGCAAGTTGGTCAAGGGGGTATTTAAAAGATGGAAGCATGAAATGGGTACACCAATTTTTGTCGGAAATTTTTTTATTCGATAACAAAGAATGAGAAAACGTGTTTTTTGGGCTTCAACCGAAAGTGTCAGCAGGAGTGAAAAAACTCGTCAAATAAGATTAGGTATTGACGAGGCATACAAAATAAAAAGATCACAATAATGTTATGGCCGAACACCTAGGCAAAATGCAGGTTCTGGCACTTGTTGGTAATGCGACGATAATATCACAATAAAACCAAACTTTAATATTATTTCGGGGAAATTTGCTAATATAATTAGACTATAATGAAAAAACCCATTTAAATCCCTTGTATGTTCAGTCAAAGGAATCAGCCAATAGAAGTAGACTTATATTCGAATACACTGTGTATGAAACTTCACTCACTCACCCATCTAACGGTAGCTGATAGGGCGTACAAAAATTCAATACGTGAGGGAAAACTTCATTAGCACATCATAGCTTACGAGAAATTTTAAGTTTGGACCTTAGAAGGCAAGCTCTTCCGCCTCATGTCCAGAATAAAATTAAACTGAAATTCGTCCAAGTTAAGATTCATGAAAACTCCCCATTTTCACTCTATACGTGAGTACCGGGAAATGGCAGGAGATATCGAGTCAGTGAGGGCAAAGTTGCGCATTTATGCAAATAATAAAATACAACTAAGAAAGTTTCGCAACTCCAGGTAGATCTGGAAACAGTCCAGTAAAACGGAATTTTCCCAAAATCCTTTCTATTCTTTGTGACTTTATGTGACGCGTGATTTCAAAATAAGAAGTACATTGACAGCACAGGCCAAAATCGTTTTCCCTTTCAGATTCAGTTATGGCCGCGCTCCGCGCCCTCTCCCGTTGTCGTTGCGAGGCAACGTGGTGACGACGCTTATATGTTCGCAATCTTTCTAGCACGACTCTCTCGCTTGTCTCTCTCATACACATGAAAATCTAAAAGGGAAGGCACTTTTTAAAATGAACGTCCTTATGGCAAAATCAAGAATCCAATGGTGGGGGCATTGGTGGTCCCCGAACTTACTTTTAGCAAGATTTCGGTCTCGAGGCGAGGGGAGCGACAATTGAAAATTGAAAGCTCTTCAGCGTAATAAAAGAAACAACGTTGACGTTCCTATTTCACGGGCTACAGCTTAAGCGGCTTGAAGTACTTTGACATATGAGGTGTCTCTAGATTTGACAGCGCGAGTGACACTGTGTATGTCAGTACTCGCGCGGAATGCGTATAAAATCAAAATGGCGAATTCTAACCGAAAACTTCAACTTTTAGCTTATCATTCTATGGCTTAAATGGCTTGGTGGATTTTTACATAAAAGTGTCTACAGATTTGCCTGGAAAGTGCGGGTGACACTGGGTATACTGAAATTTGATAAACTCAAAATGGTGGATTTTAATAAAAAATTTCAAGATCGAAATTTCACGGGCTACAGCTTAAACAGATTGATAGATTATGACTAATCATATCGCTAGATTTATCTTAGCAATGCGATTAGTACTGGGAACACTAAAACTATATTAAATAAAAATTGATTCTTCATTCTTTTCAGTTGCTGCAGTCGGACTGTGTGTATTTTTTCAAATGTTCATGTCTCAATCTTTGGTAACTTAAGCATCTGGGGGAGCGGGGGCTGTTTAACTCCACAATTCAGATATAGCAACGTAACTTTTTCGGATGTTATAAAAACCAAAATAATGACACACGTCACTCGTTGCTTTAGAAATGGGCACCCTATTAGGTATATTTCATTTCTCAATCGGAAACCAGGGGGCATACATCCCCCTTGTCTTCCCCAATGAGCGCCCATACTGTTTATTTACTTACTCTTTGAGCATCAGTATAACTTCGACACATTTTGTCATAGTTTTGCCAACCTTATCCTGGTATATCGTATTGTCTATCAAATGTATGCCCTCCTGGCCACTTAAAAGTTCGGTGCTTAACTCGTCAACCAGAAAGCAATATTGAAAAATAGTCTGCATGCTTGCATAGATAAAAATCGTGACAAAAACAATTGAGCCGAGCCAGAAAACGCCCATGACCAGGTAGAAGATAATGAAGTGCAAAGTTACAATGATCCAGTTGTCTGAGAAGAATCTCTTCACAATTAACCTAAAACGTATAATGGAATAAATCACCATTCAATATCTAAGAAAAGAATATGTATGATAACACTATATTCCCCACACATGACATCTTCTACCATCGTTTAATCTAAGAGATGTGTTGCCGAGACAATTTAAGGAATATTTGCGCGGAACTTTGATGTGGTATTTTTATAAAACAGGATCATACTTAAAGTTAAAAATCTAAGAAATGAATTACTTGGTGGTAGAGAATTCCTTCCATACATGTGCTTCTCGGGGAATCAGAACTTGAATGCGAAATAAAACAAAAAATAGTTCTAGTACGGTATTGAATTTCCAATTACGCCTTGAATATCCTATTTTCTGGGATTTACACGCCGCATATCTTCCAAATAAACAGGCACTTCGAAAAGCGTTGATGGACAAAATAGAAATAGAATTTTTGTCTTATCGTAGATGGTGGCACCCCTATTTGTGACTCTCCTAATATATTTTGGGAAAAACGCTCGGACACTTCAATTTTGATTTCTAGGGGGACGTCTTTTCATCTAAATTACGGCACTGCTATGATGATGATCTAATATGTAGAGTTGCTTAGGTTTGCACTTTTCAATTCCTTTGTTCTAGCGTAGGTTATAAGTAAGAGATGCATGTAAACCAAGGTGACCAGTACTCATTCGTCTTCTGTTAAATAAAGTCGCTTTTTTAAAAAGTCGTTCGTTGTTTGCACATTCTTAATTGGCGCTGCGAACAGGATATCGGCGTACCGAATCGATAATCGGCGGTATTGATTCACGAGTATCGCTCAATCGAGACCGAAAAAGTGCAAAAAATCGTCCGGTGTGTTCGGGTACGATTTCAATCGTTTTGACGTCGATCACAAAGAACTTCGAAGGCTACACCGAGCAGGCACATCACCATCGAAGTACCAGGCCGAAATACTTGCTAAGTATTTTGGGAGCAGGCAACGACACTTGAGAAAACGACAGGAACTGACAGGAGCGAGGTGCTGGATCCACGGCAGGCAAGCTGTCAACCAGGAGGAGCTGTATTGGCCCAAGGAGGTATCTCAGATCTCTCCAAATGAAGCTGCTAGTGCCCAGTGTAGCGTAAGAAACAACATTTACAATTTTTGCTGTACTCAGTGATATTTCCATTTATTTCTCGAAACTTTTTCGCCCTCTATTGCTTTACATTTATATATATTCGTAAAAGTTATCTATAAGTAAACTTATTTAGTGACTTTAATTGCATATATTTAATGTCCGATTCTGAATTTGAATCTGTAGTCGAAAATACACCTGTTAGACAAGTTATTTTGACACCCTCACGTCTTAATTTTAATCAGTTAACCATGTCTCTTCAAGATTTACAAATTAAATTCAATGTAGCTAAATATATGGTACCAGAATATCATGGAGGTCACAGAGATCTAATTTATTTTTTGGATAATTCAGAAAAGTTTATTGCAGAATTTGTTAATACACCTTTTGTTTCGTATGCTTTCCAATACGTTATTTCTCAGCTGAAAAGCGAAGTAAGAGATTTAGTGCATCTAACTAGTCCGAGAACCTGGCCAGATTTAAAATCATTATTATTATCCAAATATAAAGATCCTAGAAATGAAGAAACTCTTCTCACCGCCTTATATACGTCAGTTCAGAAACCTAACCAAAAATATGAAGATTTTTATCAAGAAATTAAATTTAAGGTACAGAGCCTGAAAGAATTTGCAAATTTAGAATACCATGATAATCCCGATCATATCGCTTTTAAATTGAGAGACTATGATAGACAGTCTTTGAGCTCCTTTATCTCTGGTTTGAATGAACCATATAGGTCTTATGTAAGACAGCAAAATCCTACTACAATTGATTCTTGTGTTCAATATTGTCGTGATTATGATAATTTGCAAATGCAAGTTGATTATAAAAATTTCTTAAGAACGAGCCTATATAAACGACAACAGCCTCAGTCTCAGAATAAAGTACAAGCTTCAAATCAAAATTTCCAAAGGTCTAATTTTAATTTTTCTCAAAAGCCCAATCAGTTTAGAGCCCAAAATAGTCAAACTTGGCTAGAGCCACAACAAACCTTCCCTACAGGTCCCACGCAACTACCACCACCTAAACAAAATTTTAAACCTCATTACCCTACAAACATTCAAGCTTTCAGACCACCACAGAATGTTTTTTCCAAAAAACCCATTCCAGGTCAACAAAAAAGTAATCCTATACCTATGTCTGTATCTACAGCACGCACACCGAAACCCCAGCAAAACCCATATCGTCAACAAATGCCCACTAGAGTTAATGCCTTTCAAGTAGGTCCCAAACCAAACCATTATTATGTCGAAGAAATTACTCATCTTGAAAATGAGGAAGAACAAACTTTTGCAGGAACGCCACAATATGAA